TAAATCATAAGATAAACTGAAATGATGGGGAATACCCATTCTAAGTTTGAATATATAAAACTAATAAGAGTTTAAGATACTAAAATAAAACTCAAGTGCTAAAGTTGAATCTAACTATGTCTGAAATAAGCCTCTAACTGACTAGAATCGCTGGGACATGCCCCAACTAAATCTAGCAAAACTGAAACTAAAGGCAAAAAATAGAAAACAAACATATCTTTCCTCCTCAAAGAATAAGGACTCACCACTGATGTTGCGGAGCTGAAGATCAGGAACCGATCTATGCGTGATCTGAAAGTTGAGGTCTTGAACCTATATCACGAGAAGATGTAGTGCAGAGTATGCGTTAATACCTGAAAGGTACTAAGCATGCAAAATAGAGTAAAGCTGAGCAATTAACATAATTGAACAAAGAATATAACTGATCAATTATATGAGATAAGCATGATACTATACAAAGAATGCTGGACATGAACTAACTGAATGCAATGACCAAGTTTATAACGTGCTAAAACTGAAATCTGATTGTAACTGATAACATGGTCAATGCAATAGAATCTGACTGTGGGAGCTACTAATAACCGACATAAAACCAGATGAGCTAAATGTGGAGTCCGATGTATACACCCCATCGAGAGGACCCAATATACCCTGCTAGGGGTATAGAGGCATGACTAGCGTGATAACTAAAATGTAATGTCCATAGAGGGGACTTATAAACCTATGGGGGCGCGTATTTCTATGACTATACTGAACCCTAGTCCACTCAGGCTAAGCCTACTCCCAATTAGAATGTATATAAGCAATATTATGACTGAAATGCTGAAGTACTAGATAGCTCAATTGCTGACATGCGAACTCTGAGAATGCAACAATTATAACTGATAATGTGATATTTGTAAACTGAAGCATGTATATGTGAAATAACTGACCTAGCATGTGTAATTCATCAACTAAAAGAACTATATAGCTAGGGTTTTGAATTTATGAAAGAATTTATGCAAAACAATACTAAAATCATGTTAATTTGATTTGGAGAATTAAAGTAACCAATTCATAATAATCTGTTAAAATTTTAGAAACCCTAGGTTTAGATAATATAGAGGGAATCAAGATTCTGACTGGAATCTAGGGACCTAATGGGTGAAAGGAACCCACTAGTGAAATCCCACATACATAGTGATAAAATTCACGTAGAAATCTTTCCATTTTGGGCTTGGAACTGATGAAGACTCGCTACGTTTTTGAACTAGGGCTGCTTAACTTTCCCCTCTATTTTGCTCTAAGTTTTCGCTTCATTTTGGTGAATAATTGATTAGGTTAGGTTCTAATTCGTTTATTAGGCTAAAATTGACCAAAACCACAGAGTTTAGCAGTTAAATGACGTAGTTTAGGAGTTCAACACATGAGGAATTGACCAAACAACCACTAACTTAAAAGCTGTTGGGTTTACCAACTGACCATGGATGGACCGACGGTCCGTTCTGGTTCGTCGTCGTTTGGCGATTGGAAGCTAAATTTTAGGGGTCCGACCTACGGCCTTTGACCACGGGCTGTGGCCTGAGCTACGGTCTGTAGGTCCCTGCGTAGGTTGACCCTTATGTAATTTTTTTTTGGGGGGGAGGGGGGTGTTACTGGGAGTGGGTTGCAGGTGGTGAAACACGGACCGTGGGTCACCCTACAGTTCGTGGGTAGTGCCAGTCGGTGTCACCTACAACTTCTGAAAACCTGCATTTTGGCAGTTCTAGCATATGGGGTGAGACATTATCTCCCCTTTGGGAACATTCGTCGTCGAATGAAGACTAAACTAGTTGGATAGGGCAGGAAAGAGTTGTAAACCCTGCCACTAATTACTAGAAAATGATTTCTGACTGAACTAAGTTACAAGGACATGCAAATACGATGAAAATTGATTACGTATCACGAGACACTTAATCCAATACTAAGCGTCAACGATCGTAAAGTAGTAATATATTCCAACTATGTGAGTCGGGGTGGAGTCCCAAGGGAGTGGTTCGTATTTGAGAATTAATAGAAAAGCATAAATAAGCTCAGGTCAATCATTGGTAAAAATATTTACGAATAAAAGCATTGTTCAAATTTGGGGTGACACAACTATCAAATAACAGGCGGATTTGGTTTCAACTATCAACTACAACATCAAATAACACGAAATTAACAAATATAGTGACATGACTCTTGGGATGTGATTGGATTATGGGCTAAGGTAGACAAATGGGTGATTGTAATTAATAATGAATAGCTATAAATCAGTGAATAAGCTAAACTTTAGTGGGGATAAACTTTCTCTCGAAAAATTTACCCCGAATGAAATTAGTTTCTCTCGAACACCAATAAGCAGCAATTAAGAATAACCTTCACTTTAGTCCATTCACTCTCTAGAGCTGAATGTGTGGAAAAGGGTTTAGGATTCACTCTCTCGAGCTGAACTTCACTCTCTCGAGCTGAACCCATGACAACCCAATACCCACTGACCATCAATTCAATAATTTTCATTTTAAAACCTCTCTCTCGAGCAAGACAAAAACACGAAGGTAGAGTTGCATTTGCAACTACAACCCTTTAGATTAAACCACAATTACTGAATGAAATCACTTTTAAACAACATTTACACTATCAATTAACAATACCCAACAGCTAAATCAACCCATAATCACATAATCCCACACCAAGAATTACGGTTTTAGCTAGAGAACATAAAAAAGTAGAAATCGTTACCAAATTATGTTTCCATCAACTGGGTAAGATTAATATTGTCTTTACAAAGGTCTAAAATGAAGAATCTTCAACACCCACTTCCAATTTCTCAGAAATGGAAATCTTCAAATCTTCAAAGCTAATGAAATATTGTCTCTAAACTTAGTTCTAAGATCTCCAATTTGAAAACTGAACATTACTGAAAACTATTGAATTCTAAATACTCAACTAAGAGTTTAAAAAATGTATTTATAGTTGCCAAAAATGTGTTGTGAAGGTCCATTCGGCACAATAAGTCGGGGTCGCCGATCTACTCCGCGATCTGCCCTTCGGTCAATTCCATCGCCTTTTTTCTTTGGCCTTCAGCATCTTCAAGTTTTGTAACTTTGGGATATATGGCACTGCCTCGCAGAACTGTTCGGCGACTCGCCGACTTCTCCTTTCTATCGCCGACTTGATTTTCTCCTTCAGGGCTTGGCACATTGGAACATTTGGCGAGACCATGGCCGTTCGGTGACTCGCCCAATGGGTAAGGCGATACTCATGTCTTCTTTTCTTCATTCTTTCAGCTGCCTTGTTCCTTTTTGCTTAATAGTGTCCATGCTTTGTTCCTCAATCCAAATACTTGAAATTCAACTATTTACATGAGTTACTGGCACAAAATATGCATTTGAGGACACTAAATCTATCAAAATAAAGCCCTAAATGAGTCTAAATCGTGGACTCATCAACACCCCCAACTTATACTTTTGCTTGTCATCAAGTAAAACTCAAGTTCAGCGGTTCAAAACAGATGTCTCAAACAATGCTACACAAGACTCAATTATGAATGCACACAAAAAGACTGAACTTATTCATGCAATGATCAACTGTGCACTCAAAGATTCAAGTTGTGACTCAGCACTATGAAAGACTCACAAGATCACAATACTTGCGTCAAATGCAAGTTCCAGCTTAACAAAGGTACTCAAATGCCCTCACAAAAAGAATGAGTCCATATTCACACACAATGGTTCACAATTTAAAGCTCTAGAATCAAATGCAATGCTCACACTTACAAAGATGAACACAATGCATGATTTCACCCATAGGTTTGCTCGTATTTTTCAATCAACACTTGTTTCAGCACACTAAAGATCAAAAATGTCTTTTCAAGGCTTGTAACGGGGCCAAGTGCAAATGTATGTTCACTTATGCTCAATGGCTACAGTCATCATGAAATATGGTGTGAACAACACTTTCTTTCCTTTTCTTCATCATTTTCATTTGTGCTCACAAATCATCCATTATTCACTTTCCATGGACTGTTGGAAACCCCATTTCTTCTTGCATTTTCACAACTTTATTCCACAACTTTTTCATTCTTTTCATTTTTTTATATGGAAGGGTTCCATTTTTCTCAAAACCATGAGTCAAAGGGGACTTTCTTGAACTTCTTGATTTACTTTTTCTTTTCACCACACCCCCAACTTAGGTTTTTGGCCTAAGTTTGCTATTCAAACAAACCACAAATCATGAGGATTATGGGTAATGGATCAAGATGCCACAATTTTATCAATTTTCTTCAAAGAAAAGGCTAAGGCTCAAAGGGTGTTCAAATGGGGCTCACACACTCACAAGGTAGGCCACAAAAGAAGTATAATGTCAACTTGTTCCACACTTTTCAAAGTTGCCTAAGATCATATCAAGAGATTGCATCACCTAGTCAACTAGACCAACGGGACAAATTATAGGTGTCAGTACACATGGTTCACGATAAGCTCATCAAACAAGGCATTGACACAGATGTCAAACAAGACTCCACACTTTCGCTAATGTGCAATGTTCATCACAAGAGACTCAATTCAATACTTGGCTAGTCACAACGAGATGCAAAAAATTCACATATTGTGTATGCAACTTCAATTGACCTCATCGTAGCTGAACATTCATTTTGTTTGATTATGAACATTATTCAAGTCATCGATATTGATCAAAACCGATATTCAAATTTGCAAGAGAACAACCACATTTAACACAAACAAGAGGTGGCACAATTTTTTTTCGGAAAGGCCCAAAAATCATTTATAGTTCAAAACAAGGAGCCACAAGCTCAATCATCCACAAAAATAGTGTAACACACAATTATAACTCAAAACCAAATATATACACAAAATCAAAGTGTAAGAAAAGGTGGGCCTCACTCCACCACAAATAAAAGTCATTTGTCCTCAAATGCAAGCAAAAATATCCAGAAGTAAAAATAAAGTAAGACAAAGAGGGAGGTAAAGAAAAGATCATGTCTACTCAGTCGCTCCATCTGTCTGGGCATCAGTGCCCGGAGTCACCTTAGAAGGAACAACTCCACTAGATGCCTCTGTTAGCGATGTCTGGATCACAAACTGCACGATCAGCTCCTTAAGATCTGGCAAGTCTCTATTTATTCTGTCCTCCCTGATCTTTATCAGCTCCTCATTGGTCTCTTCCTCCGACTCATACTCCGCTGCATCAGCCCTAGGCACGTCTCCGGTAGTAGCTGGAGGAATCTCAGAAGTCTCAGGAGCATTCAAATAATCTGCAACCTCCAGTAATGAAGTGAAGTAAGTAGACTTTAGATAGTCTGCATCCTTCCTCAAATCAACAACTTCAGCTTTTAAAGGCGTAACCTTAGAGGTATCCCCCTGTCTACTCTCACAAGCCTCGACTCTTGTGGTGAGAGTATCAATGAAAGTCTAGAGGGGGGCCAGTGCATCAACGATAACACTCTCAATCATCTAAGGGTAGGATCTCTCTAGTAGGGTCACCCTCACTTCAACTGAATGGGCCAGATGCCCCATCTTCAGGATCATCACCTAAGTAATCTTAGCCCACTGGGAGGAACTGGAGGTTCCTGGAGCTTGTGAAGAAGAGGAAGGGGCAGAAGTACCTGATGGCCCGGATTCCAGAGTAGGCAAAGATACCTCTACAAGTATCGAATTTATATCCACCTCTGGGGATGTGTCCACCGGAGCTTCCCTCCTCCTGTCAGCCTCCTCTCTAGTATACTCGCCCTCAATGCACCGGATGTCAGTGGAGGAGGACGGGGTAACCTCAAAATCACTCGCAGCATCCCGGGGTACTCCAACATGCCGACACAGCTCCGTGATCAGGACCAGTAATGGAAAAAAAGTCTACCTATGCTTGGCCCTCATGGACATCTCCTACTCAATGATAAGGCCTAGGTCAATGCTCTTCCTAGAAATAATCGACCCAAGGCAGGCCGCCTTGGGATGACAAAGAACAGACTCATTTTTGGAAGGCATAATAGAGCTACTAATGAATCCAAACTAATAACGAGCAGCTACACCCAAGTCCCTCTTCTCAATCGGGACTCCTACCTCTATCCAACTCATGGTGGTATCTGAAATAAGGGGCGCAAGCCAGCCCTTAAGCTCATCCAATGAAGCTCTAGCGGTAGTCAAGTTGGGGTATAGGCAAAGTCTTACCCCCTGTAAAATACGGTGTTAATGTACTCGTTATTGCATTCAACTTCCTTGCCGCGAACCACGACCGATCTAACTAGTCTAAACTCATTGCGCTTCTTCTTAGTCTTGGGAAACGGATCACCATATGTCGTATAGAACTCCCTGACCCATGAAGGAATATAGGGGCCACGAGGCCTGGTGAACTGCTCGAATATGTGGAAATAGATAGTGTCCCTTACATCTAATTACTTGCCCTCACGGCCTTCTGTCGATATAAACTTTTCCTCGAGGATGGTTCCCAAACCATCACCTTTCAATATGTTCAGAAGCTTGGGAGGAGGGATGACTGGTGGCACAGGATCCACCGAAGGTGCCGAAGTTGGCACTGAGAAAGAAAAGAAAAGAAAGAAAACTTGGGTTGCCTCCCAAGCAACGCGTTAGTTAACGTTGTGGCACGATGCAAGTCCATACTTAAACATCATTCTTGGGGTTAGCCATAGTATCACTAGGCAAACCCCCCTGTTGTCTCGGGTTCAAATGAGACGAGATATGACCAAACTGGGTCTCTAACTGCTTGATCGACATTGAATGGGAGGTTACCTTCTGTCTAAGGATCGACACATCTTCTTTCATCTCTTTCAAGATCTTATCCGACCCTTCAACTTTATTTAGGATACGAGAAAACATATCCTCCAACAGGCCACCTTCCGAATCCTTTGGTTTTTAGAGCTCATTGGGAGGCATATATCTATTCTTCTCCCCATCCTTCCAATTGGGATTTTGGTGCCTCTATTCTCTATCACGATCCTTCCAACCCTCATCCTTAATTCAACCTTCGTTACTACCCTACCTCAGGTAGTTTAAATGATAACCACCACATTTGTTGGCTAGGAAATTCACCTCTTCATTATACAAGGCCTCAAACTTTGACTTCTCCAGATTAGCACACCTGACACCCATGACATTAAAAATTTGTGCACCCGCTCCCATGACATTCTTGGACAAAATGTCAAGTTGTGTCATGATCTTGGCCATGTTCTGGTCCCTCTCTTGGTCTTTATCCATTTGCTCTTTGGTCAATTTGAATGTGAGAGGGGAGATCTGGTCTTCATGGGTATACCACACCCTGTTTATGGTAGTCATGCCATCCAAGAGCTGACCAACTATCACATAAGGTTGCTGCAGCAAACTTTCCAAAGAAAGTTTGTCAGCAACACCCTTACTTTCCGAGTCAAGATTTCGGTAAAAATACTCAAGCAACACGTTGTCAAGCAAGCCATGAGTTAGGCATTGAAGCACCGACTTCTTGAATCGCACCCAAGTTTCATTAATTGGCTCGCCTCCCAGACGCTTGAAGCTCTGAATGCTGTCCCAAAGAGTCATCATCTTCGAATGAGGGAAAAATCACACTTGAAATGCGGTAACCAACTCCTCCCATGAAGTGATTGATTCACATGGCAATTCAGGTAGCTACTTACATGTTTCTCCGATAAAAGAGAACGGGAACAACCTCAACCAGACCAATTCTTCGGAGATGTTCTTGAAGGAGAACGGTTCGCATACATCTACGAAGTTTCTAATATGCTCATGGCGATCCTCATGAGCCAAACCACTGAAAAGTCACTTTAATTGCAAGAGTTGGAGCATAGTATTCATGATGTGGAACACTGCATTCCCTTCGGCCGGAGGCAAGCGAATGACACCAATACCTCCCATGAAATGGGGGTCATTAGCATGAGGCGTGTTGACATCGTTGAGGTTTCCGATGTCATCTTGATGGCCTACTTTACTGCCATTGTTGCCGTTCACACTCATACTTCCTGTTTCAACACACAAATAAGAAAAAAAAAACTAAAACTAAGTAAGTAGAACTATGGCTAAAAGGAAAAAAATTCAAATTAACTAAAAATTCTCAAGTAACACCATTCCCCGGCAGCGACACTAGTTTCATTTACGTATCAAGAGACACATCATCCAATACTAAGCGTCAACGATCGTTAATAGTAATATAACCCAACTAAGTGAGTTGGGATCGAGTCCCAAGGGAGTGGTTTGTATTTGAGAATCAATAGAAAAGCATGAATATGATCAAGCCAATCAAAGGTAAAAACATTTACGAATAAAAGCATTGTTCAAATTATGGGTGACACAAGTGTCAAATAACAGGGGGATTTGGTTTCAACTATCAGCTACACCAACAAATAACACGAAATTAACAAATATAGAGACGAGATTCTTGAGATGTGATTGGATTATTTGCTAAGGTAGACAAATGGGTGATTGCAGTTAATACTGAATAACTGTAAATTAGTCAATAAGCTAGACGTTAGTGGGGATAAACTTTCTCTCAAAAAATTTACCCCGAATCAAATTGGTTTCTATCGAACACCGATAAACAGCAATTAAGAACAACTTTCGCTTTAGTTCATTCACTCTTTCGAGCTGAATGTGTGGAAAAGGGTTTAGGATCACCCTCTCGAGCTGAACCCATGACAACCCATTACCCACAGACCATCAATTCAACAATCATGGTTTTAAAACCTCTTTCTTGAGCAAGCCAAAAATATGAAGGTAGAGTTGCATTTGGAACTACAACCCTTTAGATTAAGCCACATTTACTGAATGAAATCACTTTTAAACATCATTTACACTATTAATTAACAATACCCAACAGGTAAATCAACCCATAATCACATAATCACACCCCAAGAATTGAGGTTTTAGCTAGATATCATTAAAAGGTAGAAATCGTTACCAAGTTGTGTTTCCATCAACTGCGTAAGATTAATATTGTCTTTACAAAGGTCTAAGATGAAGAATATTCAACACACACTTCCAATTTCTCAGAAATGGAAATCTTCAAAGCTAAGGATGTAGCATCCTACAAGCTTAAGGATGTGGCTCACATCTGGTTTACTTAATGGAAGGAAAACATGTGTACAGATGCAACTCCTATCACTTAGGAGTTCTTTAGTGAGAGTTTTCTGGACAGGTTCTTCCGAAGAGATTTGAGGGAGGCAAAAGCTTAGGAGTTCATGAATTTGAGGCAAGGTAGCATGTCGGTCCAAGAGTACAGACTCAAGTTCACCAAACTCTCCACGTATACTCCTCACATGGTTGCCAATTCCAGGGCTCAAAAGAAAAAGTTTCTATATGGGGTTTCTGACTTAGTGAAAATAGAGTTTAGGAATACTTTGTTGCTGGAAAATATGAACATCTATTGGCTTATCACTCATGCTCAGCAGGTTGACAGAGATAATCTTTGGGAAAAATCTAAGTATAATAAGAAGTCTAGAACATGCAAGTATGAGTATATTCTCAATAGAAATTAGGAGGTGGAAATTGCTCGTATTTTCAGCAAAAGTTCGACAGGATCAGAAAGGTAGGGCATCAACCTCTAAGTCTTAGGGGAGTGTTTCAGGCACCAGAACCTACCCAACTTATCCAAAGTGTGGTAACAACTATCTAGGCAAGTGTCATGAATGAAAGGAAGGATGCTTTGGGTGTGGTCAATCTGGTCAAAGGTTGAGGTATTGTCCTTCTACTAAACAGGGTCAAAAAGGCAATAATGGTAGGGTTCAGTCTTCAACTTCTGTAGCACCAACAGGTCACCCAACTAAGCAGGGTAACTCATCTGGTACAGGTGGCAGTTAATACCAAAACAGGTTGTATTCTCTTCAAACTCTCCAGGATCAGGAAAATTCTCCTGATGTAGTCACTGGTACGTTACAAGTTTTTAAGTTAGATGCTTATGCTTTGTTAGATCCAGGCCTTTGTAACTTCATATATAGCAATAAATTTTGGTGTCAGTCTAAAAACTCTTTCAGAACCTTCTCAGTTTCTACTCCAGTCGGTGACCCAATTATAGCTCGACGGTATAATTGCCCTATCACAGTCTCCCAGAAAATCACCTCAGCAAATCTTGTAGAGTTAGAAATGATACATTTCTATATCATCTAGGCATGGATTGGTTATATTCTTGTTATACCTCAGTAGATTGTAGAAATAGAGTAGTTTGTTTTCATTTTTCAGATGAACCAATCTTATAATGGAAGGGTAGTAGCTTAGCACCTATGGGTCAATTCATTTCTTACCTTAAGGATATAAAGATAATTTCTAAGGGTTGTCTCTATCATCTAGTTTGGGTAAAGGTTTCAAGCTCTGAACCCTAACTTTTGAGTCAGTTCCAGTAGTGAATGAGTTTCTAGAAGTGTGTCCAGAAGATCTTCCCGGAGTTCCTCCTGAAAGGAAAATCGAGTTTTGAATTGATCTCCTTCCAGATACCCATCCTATTTATATTCCTCCTTACAGAATGGCTCCAGGTGAGCTTAAGGAGTTGAAAGAGCAGTTGAAAAACCTTCTAAATGAGGGCT